CTGAGAGAATTCAGTGGAGGCTTAATCTATGTGAGGGCTCTGTAAATATTTTTAAAATATTTAAAATTTTGGTTCTTCACTGTCATCCCTAGCTGCTTGTAAACTTAATGCTCAAAATGTAAGCTCTAATACAGTCCACCCCTCTGGTCATCGATTTTTATTACTAAATAATACTTTCATCACACTGGCTGGTGTGCTTTGTCCATGTAGATTTAGCTGACACTTTGATGGCTGCTTGCTTTAAGACAAGCTTTTTAAGACTCTGTTCTTTCTGACAGCTGGGCTTAAGTGGTATTTCTATTTTTTATAATTTATTTATTCATGAATGTCATCAAATTCAGTTTTTTATACACTATATTTATTCTGTTTCTGCACTGCCAGATATACATATTTTAAAAATACTTAGCTTACTTTAAAAAATCATTTTATTGGGGGCTCTTACAACTCTTATCACAATCCGTACATATATCCATGTGTCAAGCACATTTGTACATTTGTTGCCATCATCATTCTCAAAACACTTGCTAAATTGGATAACTAAAATTAGGGGAGATAAAGGCTTGAAGCAGTTGGCTTACAAACTTTCAAAGGTAGGGGAAAAAACTCACAGGATTATAGGGTTAAGGTATAGGTGTTCATTGCAATTGTGAAGCTAAGAATTATATACAGGTGCCAGGTTGGCAAGGGGTGGATTGGGTTAGTTAATTGTGCCAGCCTGGCCGATAATCACATGTGGGGCTAATTGAAAGGCGGAGGGATAAATGAGTGGTGAGCCTCGCCTTTCTAGTTCTCGGGTCTCTTGTTTTGTGATGGTTGCACCGGGTGCAGCTGCCTTAGCAATTCCCTGCTTCAGCTTGCAAGATTGACTTCCTACAAGACATCCCCAAGGAGAAGCTACATGGACCTATCCTGATGCAGCCCTGGGTGCTGGAGCAGCCGTGTGGAGACCCCTGCTAGTGCTGAGATGCTTATTCGTTCACTGACTCAGCTTTCCTCCTACAGTTGGCATCATTGCCTCTGTTTTGTGAGGTGGAGGACTTTGTGGACTGGTGTTGGGTTAATGGGTTAATGTTGGACTTGTGGGCTTGGGCAGCACTGGTTTGGGATGTTTTCGTGATGCACACTTTCTTTACATAAAACTCTCTTATATATGAATTGCTGTGGATTTGTTTCTCTAAAGTACCTAGACTAATACACTTGCTTTCTACTTGAGCCCTTGGTATCAGCTCCTCTTTTTTCCCCCTCCTTCCTCCACCTTTCTTCCCTCCCTCCTGAACCCTTGATAATTTATAAATTATTATTATTTTTTAATGTCTTACACTGTCCGAAGTCTCCCTTCACCCACTTTTTTGCTATCTGTCCCCCTAGGAGGGTGCTATATGTAGGTCATTGTGATCAGTTTCCCCTTTATACTCTACCTTCTTCTTACCCTCCTGGTATCTCTACTCTCATTATTGGTCCTGAGGGCGGTATCTGCCCTGGATTTCCTGTGTTTCCAGTTCTTATCTGTACCAGCGTACATCCTCTGGTCTAGCCGGATTTGTAAGGTAGAATTGGGGTCATGATAGTTTGGGGGGGGTAAGCATTAAAGAAGTAGAGGAAAGTTGTATGTTCCATTGTTGCTATACTATACCATGACTGGCTCATCTCCTCGCGCCCCTTCTGTATGGGGATGTCCAGTTGTCTACAGATGGGCTTTGTGTCTCCACTCCAAACTTCCCCTCATTCACAATGATATGATTTTTTGTTCTTTGATGCCTGATACCTGATCCTATAAATACCTTGTTATCACACAGGCTGGTGTGCTTCTTCCATGTGGGCTTTGTTGCTTCTCACTAGATGGCCACTTGTTTATTATCAAGCCTTTAAGACCCCAGACGCTGTATTTTTTGATTGCTGAGCACCATCAGCTTTCTTCACCACTTTGCTTATGTATCTGCTTTGTCTTCAGCGATCATCTCTCAGGAAAGTGGGCATCATGGAATGCCAGTTTAATAGAACAAAGTGTTCTTGCATTGAGGGAGTACTTGAGTAGAGGCCCAATGTTCGTCTGCTACCTTAATACTAAACCTATAATTATAAGCACATTTTCCCATCGTCATATATAAATATATTTACATATAAATATGTACATGTCTGTATTTAGACCTCTATAAATGCCCTTTGCTTCCTAGTTCTTTCCTCTATTTCCTTTTACTTTCCTCTTGTCCCACTATCATGTTCAACTTTCATTGGGTTTTCAGTAATTTCTCTCGGTTACGTTGCCCCTGATCAAGCCCTATCAGGCCTCTTACACCTTCCTCGACATCGATTTTGGATCATTTGTTGTTCCCTTGTCCCTGGGGTTGTTAACACCCACTTCCTTTTCCCCACCTCCCCCTCTCCCATGCCCCCCTGGAACCGTCGGTCCTGTTGTTTTCTCCTCCAGATTATTTTTCCTGCCTATCTTATCTAGATAGACCTGCAGAGAGAATAATATGCACAAAAAACAAGACAGAGTGAAAAAAAAACAAAAACCAACAACAAAAGAAAAGCCTGTAGACAGTTTAGGGACTGTTTGTAGGCTTTTAGGAATGTTTTCCGGTCGAGTCAGATGGGGTGCCATGCTCTGGCCCCACAGTCTATTTTTGGTATTCCTGGGGTTTTCATTGCTCTGTTCCCCTGCTGTTCTGTTGACCCCCCTTAATGTTTTGCCTCAGTGTGGTGGGGTCAGATCAGGTGTAATTCCCGCACTGTGTCTCCAGGGTTGACTCCCCCCACCCCCCACTCCCCGGTGCTATGGCTCAGTGAGGGACGTCATGTCTCATAGTGGGGCTGGTCCAATGGTCCTCCCTGTGCTTTGGCTGCTCTGAGTGGGAATATCGTCCTCAGGACTTGTTAGGCCAGGCTGTGTTCCACTCTCTCTTCCTCTCCCTTCATTTGCTCCCCTGTTCTCTGATCAGACATGCCCCTCTCTCTGAGCTGTAGCTTCAGTGCTGTCCTCTGTATTTAACTTACGTTTGTGAAAACATTATATTTGGAAAAAATTGTTTTATTGTTTACTAGCAGCAAGCTTAAGACAAGTCTTAGCCGAATCAATTAATTTAAATGCCCTTGTTCAATGGCTTCTCTGCAACTAGCTTATACAATTCTATTAAACTTAATAACTTAACTCTGTTGTATAGTTTATACTTAAATAACATTTTGTGCTAAACATGTTGCTCTTTGATATGATACAGAACAATTTTTCACACTTCTAAGCAGTTAAACCAAAATTTATTGAAAATGTATCCTATGGTGCCCGGGTATTGGGAGACAAAGCATCGGGGATATTAAATGCTTGAAGTTAAACAAGTAGCCATCTAGCAGGGAAGCAACAAAGCCCACATGAAGAAGTACACAAGCCTCTGTGATTTTGAGGTGTTGACAGGATCAAGTATCAGTCATCAGAAGACCGAAAACAATCATATTGATGGGAATGAGGGGGAGGGTGTGTCAGAGTGGAGACCCAAAGCTCGTCTCTAGACAGTTGGACATTCCCTCACAGAAGGGTCACAAGGAAGGGACAAGTCAGCCAGGGTGCAGTATAGTACTGATGAGACACACTACATTCTTCTAGTTCTTTAATGCCTCCCCCCGCCCCACTATCATGACCCCAGTTCTACCTTATAAATCCAGCTAGACTGGAACATGTACACTAGTACAGATAAGATCTCGACACAGGAATCCAGGACAGATGAACCCCCCAGGAACAATAATGAAGTAGCAATAACATGAGAATAGGGGGAAGGTGGCAGGAGAAGGAGGAGAAAGAGGGAACCGATCACAATGATCGATATATAACACCCCACCCCCACTCCAAGGGGACGAACAACAGAAATGTGGGTGGAGAGAGACGGCAGTAGGTGTAAGATATGAAAATAATAATTTATAATTTATCAAGGGATCACCAGGGTGGGAGGGAGGGCAAAAAGAAGATACCAAGTGTTCAAGTAGAAAGAAAATGTTTTGGAAATGATGATGGCAGCATATGTACATGTGTGCTTGATACATTGATGTATGGATTGCTATAAGAGCTATAAGAACACCCAATACAATGATTTATTTTTTAAAAAGTATCCTACAAAAGACCCACACATTTTACAGGTTCAAATTCTATTTCAATGGTGTACAACATTGAATTTTTAACTGGCTTCATTTTAGGAACAATAAATTCATCATTGAAACCCTTGGCTGAATGGTGATGGTATTGTTTGTTTATATCCACATAACTCTCGAAAGGTGGACCCAAATCATTCATTTTCTCAGAGGAAACATGCATTGTGGCTTATAATTAGCCATATTAATTGTCTGTTGAATATATATTAGCTTGAAGTTAGATGTTAAATGTTAGTTATTACTACCATCATTTGTCCTTTGTGAAACTAGTATCAGATCCTTGTATTGTGTAACACATTCTTTATAAAATGTATAAATTCTTCAAAAGTTTTTAAAGAGTATTATTGCATGTTGATAATCATACTTTGGACTGGCCTCTGTAGATGACTAAAGCAAATTATTTTATTTCCTTGCCTTCCAATGCCCTTTGATGTTTCAAGGGAAAAAAAGGAACTAATTGGATTGACTAATTTTTAAGATCAGCCATCAGTTTACCAGCAATCTTTAAAAGCACTGTCAGTGGTTGGCCATCTGGGTTCTAAAGGAAGAGCCTGTCCCATTGACTGTTTCAAAGGAAGCACTCAGACCTTCACTGCTTCTTTCTTACTGTTGAGAACAGTCATATTGATGACATTGTAACTCATGCTCAAGTTTCAACCAAAGAAACCATTTCTTTGTACATTAACCTTATAAAAGTCATTTAAATAACAGAGTATTGTATCATAAAAGACATGGAGAATTTTAAGTGGTATTTTTAAGTTCTTGCTTTACAACAACTCGTGGTTTCAACAACAGTTGTTTGAAAATAAGTATTAAAAATTAGTATTTCTTGATCTCACCAGAGCCATTGCCACTTTCCCTAGATTGCTGTGCTGAGGAGACAGCAGCGGATGATTAAGAATCGGGAATCTGCCTGCCAGTCCCGCAAGAAGAAGAAAGAGTATATGTTAGGGCTGGAGGCAAAGCTAAAGGCTGCCCTTTCTGAGAATGAGAAACTGAAGAAAGAAAATGGGTCCCTGAAGCGCCAGCTGGATGAAGTTGTGTCCGAGGTGGGTGCTCGTGGTGGTGCCGGGAGGAGAGGCAGAAAACACCGTCTCCCCCGTACTTCAGTGGAGAAACGTTTACATTTTAGTTTAGGTTGTGTAAAGGAATAATACGAGGAAAAACAACTCCAGATCAAAGGCTGAAGAAACATTTACAGTGAATGAAAGCATTCTGAAGAGGATCTTTTGAATTCTCCCTCCCACTCTACATGGAAAAATTGTCTTCTTTTCCTGGATTTTCCCCCAGCCATTATCTTAAAACCTACCAGCAAGGGGATTCCAGCTGATCACAACTCTACAGACTAGAGTAGAATTACTCCAAAGGGCTTCTGAGGCTGTAAATCTTTACAAAAGCAGAGTCGGCCTCATCCCCCGTGGTGGGTTCAAACCACTGACCTTCAGTTAGCAGTCCACTTTAACCCACTGCCTTGGCACCTTCTTTTCTGAATAAATGAATGACATTAAGCCTACCAGGTAGCTCCACCAGAGCTTCTCCCTTTAAAAAAGAAAGCAATACAAAATGTAAGCATGTGTTTTATCTTATCTCTGCCCTTCTGACCAATAGTATGTGGCCATGCTGTGTGAAGAAGGTTGATCTCTTCAATTCTGTTACTAAAATCTGCTGCTTTGAGCATATCTAATTAAAATGCTGCCTTGAGCCAAATAGATGTTGATACTGGGGTATCTGACCCTTTTCTTCCTGTCTTGTTCCTGCGCACATGGGACTATTCCAGTGTGCTACTAAGCAACAGATTTAAAAGGGAGACAAACTACGGAAACGTCTAAAGTCCTTTAGAGGTTGGTGAAATTGAGAGCTTGTTGAATGCTCATTTGTGTTTCGGGTGAAGTGGCCATCTCTTCTGCTTCTCTCTCATCCTCGGTGCGAGTAAAGGGAACTCGGGTGGCTGTGGTCTAGTACTTTGAAAAGTATGATTTCTACCCACTTGATTTGTATTTGTTTTAATTAGACAAATTACCTGTATAACTGGTGAAGAGGGAACATTTTTATCTTAGATGTTGCTTTTTGTGAGATTAATGTCTAATTGTATTTTATATGGTCATTTCCTTTAGAACCAGAGGCTAAAAGTTCCCAGTGCAAAGCGAAGAGTTGTCTGTGTGATGATAGTGTTAGCATTTGTAGTCCTGAACTATGGACCAATGAGGTAAGTGTATATATTTGTTTTGGGCAGTACTGCTAAAAATTTAAACTCTCATCTTAAAGTTTTTGTTATTTTTCATGTCGAGTCATAAGCTAGAGTCCTGGTGACTCTATGAACTAGTTGTTGGGTTGACAACCCCAAGGTAGCAGTTCAAACCCACCACTCACTCTGCAGGAGAAAGATGAGACTCTCTACTCCTGTAAAGATTAACAGATCATGGGGACTAGTTCTGGTCTCTCCTACAAGGTTGCTGTGTGTTGGAATCGATTCTGTGACAGTGGATTTTGGTTTAGTCATAAGTGAGAGAGATTTGCCATAAACCACTTGCATGTATTAAACAAGTATCTAGTATTTATTTATAACTAATCTGTTTGCCATACATCTGCATATATTTATTTATTTCTACATTTGTACTTTTGTGTACAGTACTCCATTCCCTACACTGGAAGAACTTCATCTTCTCTTTCAACTTATATTTTTAAAATATTATTTATGATTTCAAGAAGCTCTCCCCATTGACATTCTTGTGTTGCTCTGTTCATCTTCTCATCTGTTTTACAAATTTTTAGACATGTCTTGCTTTGTGATACTGTTTTCCTTATGCATATTTTATTGTAGCGCACATCATTTTATGTGGTTCTTTATTTTTCTTGCTGTATAGACAATGCAGAGTTCATCTCAGAACAAATATATATCTGTGTTTATTTACTTTTGTCCAAAAATGACACGTGCTTTTTGTTCCTCATTTCTATTCTCAGGCTAATGTGAGGCACTCATATCTTAATAAATATTTATATAGCTCTTTATGCTTGCCAGGAAAAATGAGCTAGGGATGCAAATATGAATAGAGTACAGTCTAATAGGACAACAAATATATAAACAACTATTATGTGAGGAAGAATTGTATATAGATGTCATATCAAGATTTGGACTTATTCTTGAGCGGACGTTTAAGAAAGAACTAGTAGCTCCGGTAAGGGCGCAAGCGTAGGCGGCATTATCCGACAGCAATTGAGGAATGACTAGGAAAGAGAACTGGATTATGTTGCAGAACGTGAGGATGGGCATAGAGGAGACATTCTGTTCTGGAAGTCCTCCTGAATCTATAGAGATTTGGGGGTGGGGGAAGACTCAAAAGACATTTTAATTGAATGAGTGATCTTCAGAGCTTCTGAAGGTTTGTGGGTTGCTATTTGGCCCCGTGAGGAGGTAGGCAGATCTATTAAGGAAAGAGCAGATGAACAAAGAATCACTAGCTGGGCAGTATAAAAGGGGCATTAAGAATGGGATAGAGTCACCACCAGGGACCTATGTCTGTCTCTGTGTAAAGGCTTCAGGTACAGAAAAGCAAGAAGTAGTGGGGATATTGGGAACTGTGCAAATTATTGAGCCCTGTGATACAAGGCTTAGATTAAAGAAAAGAAACAGAGAAGAGCTAAAAGGAATAAGAAATAAAGATGTACTTTTATTAAATTGGGATATCTCCACATGCTAAGAAGAAAATAGGTCTTGGTTCCTATAAATTTCCCTATTTCATCTAGACAAAAATTTGACACAAACCGAAACATCCAAACCCAATGAGCAGGGACAGGAGACTGAAACCTGTCCCTGCATTAAATGTTCGGAATTCAGATGTCCCATCATGACTATTATCCAGAAGCATTTCTTATTTGCTCCAGTTGTTGGCAGTCTCTTCCCTGAAAAGTGGGGGGTATTTTCAGGCCTGGAGTCTGCTGAAGGAGCAGAGATTCCCCATCGAAAAACAGCCACCTTGCTGTCCTGTGGATTCCAACTCAGAGTGACCTCATAGAATGGGGTGTACTTGTCCCATAGGGTTTCTGATGACGGCAGTCTTTATGAGGCAGACTACTGTATCTTTCTCTCACTGAGGGGCTGGTGGGTTAAATCCTTAACCCTCAGCTGCACAGCACTTAACCCCTGTGCCACCAGACTTCCTCAGCAACTCCCCAGGTGACTGTAGTATCACCTCAAAGATGCTTAACGAACAGCTTCCGGCACTTGCAGTCTTGTGTACCCAGAAACCTGAAGGAAGCATTGTTATTTTCTAGTTAGGGTAGAAACTGTGTAGGCAGATTTTTTTTTTTTAATCAATTTATTGGGGCTCATACAATTCATCACAATACATAGATCAATTGTGTAATACATTTGTTGCCCTCATTATTCCCAAAATTCGCTTTCCTCTTGG